GCATCTTTCCACCAGTCTGTTTTACATTTAACTGGTGTTTCTGATGCTGAGCGACTGTAAAACCCACAACCCATATGTTAGTCTGCATGACTAACTAACCAATTGAGTGGTCAAGAGTAAAGAAGGCAATTTGGAAAATCAGTTTCAGCCTGTTTCTCGTTACTGCACTTGAGTCAAATGGTCCAGTGAAAAGTAAAAACCAGAGAGCGTGAAATTTTACAGGATTACATTGTTGTTTTCCTGGTCCCAGGGTTGTTAGTGCTGCCATTATCCACACCACGCTCCTTTCTCTAATGCTGTTAGCTTCTGAACAACATGTATACAAAATGTATATAGAGACACACACATCATCAAATCTGGATGAGTAAAATCTTCAAATGGACCCTTCAGATGAGTAAAAACACAGTTAACTGTGGATGGGACAGTTACTGTATATGACACTATTTCTCAGGCAGACACACAAACCTGGAGGAGTCTCCACTAGCTGTTAAAAGATAAGACACGGGGGAAAATGGAAAATTAAAGTTTTTTTTTCTTTATTTTGTGTTACTTATTCATCTACTTTATATTTCATTTGTATTTTGTGGCATTCATGTGGACGGCAAAGTAAGAATTTCATTGTACAGGGAAACACGTTTCTGTGCATATGACAAACACTTTGAACTTTGACCTTCATGTTTTGTATGAATTAATCTAACAAGATGCAACATGTTCATTGCTGAGCTTCTGATTTGCTGACAGGTAGATTTTGTTTTGTTGGGAGGCGACAGTGGTGCGGTGGGTAGAGCAGTTGTCTCCCAACCGGAAGATTGAAGGTCGAATCTCGGTGCCTCCAGTCCACATGTCGAGTGTCCTTTGTGAAGACACCAAACCCCCCGTTGCCCCCGAAGGTTAGAGCCATCAGTTGAGTTGGCGCTGCAGATGGCTGCCTCGGTTCTGTACCGGAAACAAATTCTTTGCGTGTAACATACTTGGCCAATAAAGGCGATGATCCTCATCTTTACCACTGGATGGAGCCAGGCTACTTGCTTCCCCTGTAACCAGCTTTTATGCCACGTTAAGCCAACTGGCTGCATGCTGGTCTTCTATTTAATCAACAGATATGAGAGTGGTATTGATCTCCTCAGCTAACTCTTGGCAACAAATATGGCTGGGCAATAAAACAATCTCCATAATTATTATGAGAAATATTTCCACAGTAAGGATTAGAATCCAATGAGTAATTTTCAAAAAATATATCTATTGTGCAACTGGCTCATCCCTCTGCACAGTCACTCCGTTGGGCTATTGTAATAGGCTTACATAGTAAAGAAGCAGGGCACGCTCACGCACACACACTGTGGGAAACAATACCTAACAAGTGTGAGGAGAGTCACAAGGCCGCACATGACAAGCAAGTTGTGGCAAAGAGGTCACACAACATCTTAGGGCAGAGAGAAACCAAGCCAAGGGTCGGCCATCAGCCACCGTCACGCCATCGGTGACCATCTGTTGGGACTCGTCTTCCCACACCGTTGGCACTAGTCGGCCCCCGTTGAATTGGCGCCAGCCCATTGGGTCTCACTGAAGAGAGAGAGACCCCTCTGATTGGCTGTTGAGCTTAGTGAATTAGTGCATGAGAGGAGAACAGATCAGGAAAGCCCCTTCATCCTGTTACTGTAGTGTCCATGATTAAGCGTGGTTTCTCCTTGTTTGTCGCCTCCACGACCTCCTTTCTTCTTCCACAACCAAAAGACCAAAGGCAGAGAACGGCAGCGTGATTTGCAGCTTCTTATCAGACGTATTCTCCATTAGAAGCAGCTGAAAACAGCAGCTGTGTTGAACAGTTGCTTTGTTTATAACTTAAACTTCAGCATTCTAGCTCTTCTTGCTTCCTTTTCTGGATGGTAAATACTGATACCGCCACCTGCTGGTAGGGGGCGCTATCTCTGTCACGTCGGCACAGAACATACAGTACGTGCTAGTCGCCGTTGGATGACGTTTGTCTTGTGTTCAAGTGTCAGTTTTTTAACCAGACTGGCCCAGACGACACTGACGATGCAGAGGTCAGCTTGGTGTAGATACGAAAACTGTTGAGATCTTTAAAACTGGATAAACAACTGAATTTAAAATATGCAGGCAACCTGTGGCAACAAAACTTTGAAAAGTGATGTGACCAACACACCCTGTATACAACCAAAGTCTGCTCCCCAGCTGTAGCACTGGTCACATATGTGAGGAGCTCCACAGGAAACAAAGACACAGTGATATCATATTTCATAGTAAAAGACATAAGAGATCTCTGGGTACAAAGTCCCAGGACAGAAACACTTCTATAAACAGTGCTGCCTCAGCTTTACACATAAGGCAGGAGAAAAATGGAAGAAGAGCAACTTTACACACTCTGTCACGACACAAAGTGATATGAACGAAGGCAGAAAAAGACTGAGTGGAAAATCTTTTATAGCCTCACCGGTTCTGTCTGATAGACGTGGCCACATCCCGAGGCCAACGGGGACAGAGATGGAGAGGCAGCGATGGCACCGGAGTACGCAGCCCACTGTGTAAACACATGCTGTGGTCTCTTATATCTGCTCTGCTGCTTCCCAGAACCTGAAGTCATCTCTGGGTCGTGCATCATCACACTCCCTAACCCTCAGTCATTCCACTTACCATTCAAATCTCTCTGGAGACTTTGAATTGAGCACCAGGCCTCAGCACAGAACCAAAACTAACCTTCACTCTGCTACTTGATGCAGCAGTGCTCAAGATTATAGGCCAGGGCCAAGTTTACAGCCATAGAATCACTCTGTGCGACAGCTCTGACAAAATACTGGTGTGTTTCGTTTTACACATGGACGGCAAGTTGAATGGAAAACAAAGAAAACGTCCTCTACCACGGGGGCTTTTATCTTCAAGTACATAATTGCCACATCTATTAAATAAGACAATTTCGCCTAAACTGTGCAACCAATTAAAGCCCAACAGGCTTAAACAGAGGCAATAAAATGTACTAACAGAGTTTACTGTAGTTTATTTGATGAAGGTCAAAATTATAAAAACACATTTATAGATGAGGATACAGCCGTAGCCATTATGCTCATAATTGGTATTAACTGCCGCAGTGGCCGCTCCCTACTGGGCCCACCGGTGTACACAACATCCACAAACACTTCTACACAGTGGGTCAATAACTAAACTCTTGTGCATAGAGGTGCAGAAGTAGGCTAGTGCAGGTAGAGAGGTCCAGTTTTAGACAGTAGTTGTGGCAGAGACACTGGTCTGTGCCTGGTCTTACTGGTCCAGCTCCTTCTGGCACTACTTCACTATTTCCGACAGTGAACTTCACTCAACTGGTCTGACAAACCTCCGCTGCAGAGCATGTGATAAAATTCACAAATATCCCTCCCAGCCACCTAATCAAGACGAGCTAGCAACGACAGCTCTCAGGGGAAGCACAACTTTGTGGTCACCACAAGTTTCTACTCGAAGCACATCCAGCCTGACTCACAGCAGGTGAAGCTTACACGGCTACGCACCAGTGCTTGAATCTAGGCCTGCACAACCGGAGGAAAATATGCCACGTGCAATAACACTGTTCAATATTGTGATGATGATATGACTTGTGCTAATAAATAAATATCTGTGTTTTAGCTATACATAATGTGTAATGACATTTTAGAGAAGGAGCGAGTCCATTAAGACGTAATTATGAAAGAAGCTTTACCTACCATGCTTTGTCTTTTTACAGGACTTCATCAGGCTGCTCATTATCATCATTGCTCTCCTGTGAATCTCAGACCTTCTTGTTTACACAGAACTGGTCTGTGATATTTTCATGACATGAAGTAGGATGTCTCCTTTAAATACATAAAATATCTAAATAGGTACATAGTGACTGTCTCAGCGCTGCCTCGTCCACTGTGAATTTCTCCCTGTATGACTGTTAAACTCTGGTACAACCACTGAGTGCAGAAATAAAGGGCTCTGAGGGACTGAAGCTGGAAATTGAAGTTTATTGTTATTGTTTTGGATTATTTAATGTGTTTGGGCTGTCAGACTTCATTGCAGTTATATGCTGTTGCCTAAGACAAGCCATTTGTGGTACAGGAACACAAAATATATGCCACCACACAACAAGTGGAGCCAGGTATTATCGTCATCATCACGCTGGTGTGTTTTCAACAGCTGTTCGAAATACAGCCCATTCAAAACTCACGGTCTAGTGTCAGAGATGTATGGCTGCCCGTCTGTTATCAAAGCTGTTCCTCTGAAGATTTTCAGAGCAGCCTCTGTGTTGTCATCAAACAGCAATGCTAGACTTATCAGCACCACAGTGTTGCACTCAACACGTAGGCAATGAGTTGTTTTGTGGTAATTTTTCAGCTATCACAGATAGAGAATCTCAGGGAGAAGGCACGCCGGTTCTTTATCTAAAACGTATTCAGCTACAGCGGGCAAACAATGCATGAAATAAACTCACTGCTGAAAAAAGCAATGAAAAACTGGTGATGATGATAGCAGATAAAAACTGCTACAGCAAAAGTTAGAGAGCACTAAAAGGACAGACAGGGAAATTTAAGAAAGGAGTTTGCTACAATGAGGGAGAAACAGAGAACACATTTCCTGAAGTCCTGAACTTTAATCTAGATTAGTTCACTAAACCATACCCTAGGTCTGACAAACAAAGAAAGGGTTACATGAAAACATCTTTATCAACATCTTTATCCTGCTGTAAACAAATGTGACATTAACAGAGTATCATCTTTGAAACTGAGGAATTTGATTAAACATTGTTGTTGAGTACCAGTTCTCCTATCCGCCACAAAGAATGAGTCATTTGTGTACTTGTGAGGTAAACTCTGAGGAAATGAAAAACCTGAGTCACAGTACACACCTACTCCAGCTTTAGACCGCAGGCTGTGATGAACCACCAGCCTGCGAAGGTCAACTGCACTTTTATGTTTGTGTCTTTTAGTATGCGTGTACAGTATACAGTACAGTAAGTGGGTTACACCTACCTGTTGCAGGATCAGAATGACATACTGGGTCCAAACTGGTGTGGCACATTTAATTACAGGGGTTACCTGTGCAAAACATATTTATGACAAACTGTCAACACTGTTCATCTAACACTCAGTGTGCATCTGCTATTGCTCCTGACGGTGGCCTCAACTTAAACAGTTCTACTATAAACATTTAGCAATACTTCACTGTGAACACTGAGTGCTCAAGGACAGAAAACATTTCCTTCTACTTTATGCTTTTATTCCACTACACTTTGGAGGCAAATGTACTTTTTAGATACTACTTAATTCGCAAATTCAGATTATTGCTAGAAAATATAAACCAACAAATAAATCATCTATTAGAGATTAGGCTACCCAGCAATATAGAAAATAAACATTTTGAATTCAGAACCTGTGCTTGAAACCCTGTGGTAACATTAATTCTAACTGTACTCAAGCAAAAGAGCAAACTACTTCTTTCACACTGTTAATCTGTACAGTATAAACACACAAAGTTGTTTACAGGTCACAAATGAACCTACAACCAAAAGAACTACTTGGGTCGGTACCCTTTACAAGGCTGTACTGACTTCAAATGACCACTGACAGTAAATGTTAGCACTTTTACTAGCCTCGGAACTGCTTATGCTAATGCTAAATGCCAATCGCTAACAAGCATCAACCTGCAGCGTAATGCTAGTCACTAGGGCTAATGGCTAATGGCTAATTGTTCCAGCTCTGACACATATCCCAACCATGTACGTAAAATCTTATTCACATGATATTTATGTACCCACACCCCAAAGAAATGTTTGAATGATTTACAAGGTTTTAACCTGTATTCTGTGACCCTGTCAATTCTTCTCCAGCACTCTTACCAGTGCATTTTTTTTTCTGATGATAATCAAGAGCCCTGCTCCTGTCGTCCACTAACGTTCACTCAACGGTTATCACTGTTGACCGTGAACTAGGCTGTAATACCGCGAGAACCACACGGACACAGCTCACAGCGCCCCCTGCTGACCAACACAAACAGCTGCAGTCACAAGGAATACAGCAAAACTACAAAATGTCTTTTGATTTGGAATGTTATTTTTTGTTTTGTCTGGGGGGTTAATACTACTATTTCTGCCCGTTGATTACTTCAAACTGTAACTTAAATATAGACTAACTTAAAAAATAAATAAGATCAATATAAACTTAAACAGTTCAGACTAAAGTTGGAGATTTTGACTGCAGGGACCTCTTCAGGAACACAGGATCCAAGATGAAGGGCCTATCACAGCTTAACATTTCAAACACGAGTCATTAAATGAATAATGAAGACATTGAGTAGACACAGAAACAGTGGGAATCTAAAATATGAAATATATTTTGCTTAGTTTTAGTATTAATCTAAATAATAGAAACAAAGAAAAACTGCTTAATGAGAAGATGTGCACAAATGTTTGACTGGTGCAGTGCATTAATGTACCCAACTATAACTCAGTATTATATATTCTGAGATGGGCCCTTCAGCAATATGAATACTTTTACTTTTTGTAGGCTACTTTAGGTATTTGCAGCTAATACATTTGCACTTTTACTCAAGTAGAATTTTGAATACAGGACCGTTACATGTGTGGTATGGCCACTTCAATGAACTGAGTACTTCTTACACCACTGATCGGCCTGTCTGTCTTTGAATACATGCTTGCTTGTTGGGACATTACGTTTTCTCTGTGGTTGTTGAAAGGGTAGCATGAGAGAGATCTCGCCTCTCTAGCTTCAGGTTACCTTAGCCAAGGAGATACTTGAGCATGTTTTTATTGACACATTCCATATAGGGCTGTTAATGAAAACAAAAACAAAACCAAAACCTGTGCTGCTTTCTATGTGAAGTGCTGCTGTCAGATCTCCTGGCCTTGCACCCCAATGGAGCTGCAGCAGTTCTAACTAATGAGTCAAGTCAGGCCCACTGGATCCTATAAGCTCTCCCCAGGCTTCTGTGCTTGTATGTAATTTGTGCTGTAAACATCTCCCCATCTCTCTTGACCTTTATCACTCCAGCTGGGCTGCAGAAAATACTGCCAAACAAAATCCACCAGGCTGCCAACTCTGTTCTGGCTTACACCACCAGTAATATCTGAACAAGTTCTGTGAAACTATATTTTCCTTTGGTCGTTGAATTGCTAAGTGAGGTCTTGACAGTGTTAGATGATAAATATGTTTCCCTTTAATTTCCTCTCACCAATGCTTTTGCAGCACACAGCTACTGTATACTGAGCAGTGTGATATCTGTTCCGTCTGTATATATCTGATTTTACTAATATTAATCATACTCTGGCTTCCACTCAGTAGCAATGAGAGACTACAGCTGTGCTAGCGGATCTGTCAGGCTGTAGTTAGACACCATGGCGCTTTGAGCTACAGTATGTTCAAGTTTCTGCATTCTAACACAACGGGCCTCATTCACCATTACCTTTCTGAGCTTTAGCTTAAATTTGTTCTATAAGAAAAGTCAACATTTGATTCGTGATGAGTGCTCTTACAACGATAAATCCCATTGTGTTTGTAAAAGCGTGTGCCAGTTGTTCCTATTTAGTATCAGTAAACGGCCACCGATGCACATAAAAGGGCATGAGACTGCAAGGCTGTGTGCACACACAGGAGTCTCACATAGAAATGGAAAAGAAAACTACATGGAGTGTGCAAACTCAAGGCATGTTACTGAACAGAAATCAAGAGGGAACAAAACATCCAGACACAGTGGTACAAACTGAGGAAAGGCTGGGTCAGAGTCTCCAAGAGACTCGGGTCAAAACACAGGACAGGCACAGAGGGTGAGTCACCAGGGATTCTTTCTTCTATGCCAATCTGACAGAGGGTAAATACTGGCTGCTGGCTTAAATACACTGTGGTTACACAGGTGGAATGTAGGTGAGTGTGAGCGGAGCAGGTAGTAAGAGCGGGAAAAGAAGAACAAAGATAGGACACGACAGGGAACACGTGGGGTGGAGCCAGGACAAAGACTGGGATTCTGACAGGACAAGAAGTCTCAAGTGAGAACATATGCTCTGTCCGGAGGTGAAAAGCGGAACGGGCATGGAGACATTTAAACACACACAAAAAAAATGTTTAAAATAGTTTCTAAAAAAGAAAACATATAGCCAGCGTAATGTACGAGTGCTGAGTGTTTGATTGTTAATGGTGTGACTCCTATGTACTGACCATGTAGTACATTTCACCTTCTGATGCTAGTCTGTTGGTGACAGAGATGTATTTTACTTCTCATTCCCCCTGAGGAGTCCTTGTATTTTTATGTTCTCCCTGATTTGCCATCTCTTGACCCGGGAGGGAGAAGGACACAGACAGACTTTGGCAAAGCAGACTTTCCTTTGTCCGTTAGCTGGTGTTCACTGCGACTGTTGCACAGTCCTCTCCTCATGCTTTTCTCTCCATTCTTAATTTCCTCTCTCTCTCCCTCACTTCTCCTCACATCTCATCTGCCCCACTGCAGTACAGCAAATTTTGCCCTGAAAATAATTTCTCCTCTCTGCTTCCCTCCTGTTTTCTCGTCTCATTTTGCCTCCTCCTGGCTCAACCCCTCTGATCCTGCACCCATTGGGAGCTAACACATCCTCTGATATCAGCTCCTCTGTTTGACACGCCTCCTCAGGGACACGAGAGAGAGGAAGGGAGAAGAAGACGATGAGGAACAGTATGATTTCACTGATGCCTTAAACAGCACTGTTTTTGAAACAGATGACTCGGTCTCTGCATCTCAGTGCCCGAGGCGAGAAACGTGGCAACATGACGTGGCACGGGTCACACTGCTTCAAGTGACAGTGTGTGTTCAGATGAACACAACCCACACAGACTCAGGTCCAGAGAGACAACACAGCAACAGACTGACCCCAGATACACTCACTTTTTGTTTTCTTTGGTCCAAGCCACTGTTTAAATTCATGATAATCTTTTAATATTGCACCAGCATTTGCAAACAAAACTCATGCTTAAACAATAAGCAGCTAATTTACAGCTGTGAGCAGCACCATAATAATGTAATTCAACTTAATTTGTCATTTTTCATGTTTGCTTTCTTACAGTCACAACAAAATGAAAACAATTGGAAGCCTTCGCAGAACACACCAGTGGACAGCAACATCCAGGTCACTGATATTCAATTGTGAAAAAGACTGCGGCTGTCTGCCTTGCACATTCTCTGCACCATGATAGACAGGAGTCACACAACATAACTTTAGTTAAAAATGAAATGTAGGTCAAGCTGAAACAAGTGAGTGAATAATTCAGCGACACCCGTGTGGTAGGATGGCAGAGCGCTCCCAGCCCAGCTCGGTCATACAGAGAGAGACTGTTTGGAAGCACTCTGGATTTGGGTTGGAACGGCAAAAATGTGGGACTTCAAGATAAAGTTGTGTAGCTACATTTCAACACTAGTGGTTTGATTATTATTTATTACTTCCTGTTTCATATCAAGGAAAACAGCTGTTGCTCCATGTTTATCACAGCACAGCTCACTGAGCACTGACTGTCAGTTCTACATACTGTAACCTGATTATTTTGTAATACGTAGGCATAGCAGAGCTTTTAAGCCATGTTTATGTTGAAATACATATATAGTCGTGTCTCTCCTTGTATTGTTTGCACTCTTATGGACATAATGCACAAAAATAAATAATCAAATAGTCGAACAGAAGTGTTGTTAGAACATCGTTTTTGACAGGTGGCCAGTCTATCACAGGGCTGACACACGGAGACAAACAACCTGCACGTGTTTGGACTGTGGGAGGAAACCCACACTGGCATATGGAGAACACGCAGACTCCAGAAGAACCATGTACACTGGACAATCAAAATAATCACGTCATGAAAAAGGAGAGCCAACTCCTCAGGACAGGACGCCTGCATCTGAAGGACATGGAACAGGGGCCTCTTCAGGTGGTTTGAAAGAAGCCACCCATCAGTACTAAACAGAGGATGTGGTCTACAAATCAAATCAAATCAAATCAAATCAAATTTGTATAGCGCCAAATCACAACAAAAGTAATCTCAGGACACTTTACAAAGTAAGGTCTAGACCTTACTGTTATCAATATTATTACATAGGGAAAACCCAACAAATCCCCCTTGAGCAAGCTCTTGGCGACAGTGGGGAGGAAAAACTCCCTTTAACGGAAGAAACCTCTGACAGACCTCGGCTCTTGGTGGGCAGCCTTCTGCCTCGACCGGTTGGGGTGAGTGGATAGAGGAGAGAGAGAAGAAGAAAAGCAACAAGACACAACAATCAAACACTGATCAGGTCGATGTGGCTGGTGACTGCTCGTCAGAGACATAGAGCCCCAGGGCCAGGGCAACCTGTAGAAAGGTACAGGGAGAGAGAGAGGACACACTACGGGAGAGAGGAGACACAAAGTTAGTGATGTGTAATGGTGGCATATAGAAGAATAGAGAGGAGAGGAGAGGAGAGGAGAGCAGAGCAGGAGGGGAGGGGAAAGAAACTCAGAGCGTCATGGGCCCCCCAGCAGCCTAGGCCTATAGCAGCATAACTAAGGGAAGGCTCAGGGTCACCTGATCCAGCCCTAACTATAAGCTTTATCAAAAAGGAACGTTTTAAGTCTAATCTTAAAGGTAGAGAGGGTGTCCGCCTCCCGAACTAAGACTGGGAGTTGGTTCCATAGGAGAGGAGCTTGATAGCTAAAGGCTCTGCCTCCCATTCTACTTCTGTGGACTCTAGGCAACACAAGTAAACCTGCACTATGAGAGCGAAGTGCTCTGTTAGGATGATAAGGCTCTACGAGGTCTTTAAGATACGATGGAGCCTTGTCATTAAGGGCTTTGTATGTTAGGAGAAGGATTTTAAATTCTATTCGGAATTTTACAGGGAGCCAGTGGAGAGAAGCTAATATGGGAGAGATATGATCTCTCTTGCTAGTTCCTGTCAGTACTCTGGCTGCAACATTTTGGATTAACTGGAGGCTTTT